ATATTGTATGCCTAGTATTAGTGAATATGAACCTAGGGTTAATTAGAAAATAAGTAAATTGATGTGTAAGCATGTGTGATGGACAACCATACATGAGTTAATTGAATTGACAAATTTAGTTAGCTAATATTACAAGTCTTACTTGATCCGAACTGAACACTAGGAAACTTGTTAGTTTAATTAATTGGTCACTGTTTGAATTAACCTGTTTGCTAAGGATTAGTAATAGTGAACATGAACCTAATCACATTTGAAATCGGTAGCCAATGATATATTAATCCATTGCACTTGCCATTAAATCAACCATATGAATAAATGAGTCGAATTTGAACAGAAGTCTCTTTTATTATTGAATCTAGTTACATTCTATTTTCTTTAGTTGTTAATTATTTTGTTTAAGTGTTATTTGCTTATTTAAGTTTCTAGTCTTGCAAAACTAGAGAAACCCATCTTTTATTATTTGTTTTTATTTAGGTAATTCTAGTAGTTAATCTTAATTGTTACCGTTCCCTGTGTTCGATACCCTACTTGCTTGAACTATATTGCTAATCGATAGGTACACTGCCTTTCGTGTGTTTATTTTGTGTTTAAATTAGTAGGATTAAAACTAGTGCATTTCACACACATCAATGAGCCCTATTTAAGCTCACTTATGACTCTTGGACCCTCACCCTTATCAGCCTCCACTGCTTGATATCGTCCCTCAAACCCTATATTGCTAGTGAGTGTGATTTTTGAGCTTTAAAGTGACTTTGGTTGCCTTTTTGGTGTGTTTGCAAGAAGAAGAACTTGGTGTGCAAGCCTTGGACGTGGTTGGGCTTCAAGATCCTGAATCTACTTCATATTAGGAAGCTTTTGGAGGTATAAAGTTCATACCTTGCCTATGTTTTGCTTAGATCTACGTCTTTAGCTTGTTATGGTCCTTTTGGTCCCTTTTGGTTGGTCTTGAAGAGTTAAGACCGTTTGAGATGCTAAATCTTGTAGATCTGGTCGATTGGTGGGTTTCTTAAGCTTAAAGGTGCAAACTTTTTGGTCTTTGTGACCCCCATGCAAGTATTAAGTCATTCATTAAGCTCTTTTGAGCTCTAGGACCTCATTAAGCCATGCATACACGTAAAGTTGGCAAATTTACGTGATAACCCACCTCAAACAGGTCAGATATGAGTTTTGGGCTAGTGTCTTGACCGATTAAGAGCAGAAAAATGAAGTTGGCCAAACAGGGTGAGTACGTTGGGCGTACAAGCCCTTAAGCGTGTACGCTTAGTATGCCCTGTGTACTCAGCAGTAGGCTGCAGTTGATTGGGCCTTGCGGTATTGGGATCCATCTTGGACCATAGGAGTTTAAGGTTGTATTTTGGGCCACCAGAATATTGTTTTGGGCCAAGGGAGTTTTTGGACGGATTTTTGTGGGCCTTAAGTGTTATAAGTTGGGCCTTTGGGATTATTGTGTTTGGGCCAAGAATGATTAAGCCCATTAAGGGTAAGGTGAAGGAGGGGAACCTTGACCTTAGGAATTGGATTATAATTTAGGCCCATAATCATGATTGTTAACGCTTTCCTAATTAGGGTAATTTGTCTATGTTCAGTGCGGGATTTCCCTGATCAGTAGCCGAGCATCTAGTATTTATCAGCAGACCGAGGTGAGTTTCCTCCCTGTATCTATGGGTCTAAGGCACCAAGGCCGACCCACTATCCGGTTATGTAGTATGCTAGTTGTTGTGTGATATACATCGTGTCTGAATGATCGGGTTGAAATATACCCCAGGGCAAGGACCAATATGGTATGACGGGTTGAAATATACCCCAGGACGGGGCCTAGTGTGATATATACATGTTGAAATATACCCTAGGGCGGGGCCCATTATGACATGATCGGGTTGGAATATACCCCAAGGCGAGCCCCCAGGGTGGGGCCCATACTTGCTATTTGGGTTGGATTATACCCCAGGGCGTGGCCCAGTTATATGTTTGCTATGTGATATTTTTGGGAAAACTCACTAAGCTGTTGGTTACAGTTTGTATTGTGGTTTCAGATGCTTCCGGTTCTAAAGGGAATGACCCGACTTGATGGCGCAACATTTACTCCCCACCGTTTTCCGCATTTATTGTTATTGTCACTCTAATGATTTTATATGATGATGATTATGTAATAAGTTTTGGAATCAAACTTATGATTGTAAACCTTATTTAAAAATGAAAAATTTTCTTCTGGTTTTGGACTGTTACAGAGGTGGGACCCATTGTATTGTTATAACAATATTAATAGTTATAAGAAATAAATTAAATAAAAAAGAAATTACCAATGACAAAATAGTCTTTTTATATAGGGCATGGATCAGCCACACAACAAAAACATACTATGGTTCTGTCCCAGTTTAAAAAAAATGTTAGGATCCAATTACACAAATTACCTTAAACAATAGGGACCAATCTTGTAATTTACTCTAAAATTAATGAAATTTTGATTTTTCTTTTATAACTCAACCATCGGAAATGCTCTGAACATAAAAACTGCCTCCAGCTCCTCCTTCAACATCGACGGACACCTTCTTCCTCCACCATTAGCCGGCCATCAGACCTACCATCGCCGTCGACCAGCAGCGCCTCTCCGCCGTCAACTCCTCTGCGCCGATCTCTTCCCCTCGTCCCGACGGTACGTCTATTTCTATTTCGATTTTGACCTAATTTACAACAGTACCTCGAACGGAATTTCTTCCCTTTTCCTGTCTTTTGGCACCAACTTAATACTGATTTGTTGATTAATCTGCAACACTACCTCGATTTCGAGTTTAACCTAATCTGTACATTGTCTTGCTTTGTTCCAGTTCTATACACCAACTGTTAGAGAAAAAAATAATCCAATAATGGAAGCCAGTTGGTTGAATTTCTGAATAACTGATCTTCAAATATGATGCTTGTAATTAGGAAATTCGATACTTTTCATGAGTTTCTGTGTAATATTTATTAGTTGCACTTTGGCGAACATCTATATCAACTAATCAGAATTTGATCCCATATCTGATTTAGAACAGCAGACACATCAATGCCTGCAGAATCATGTACTTATGGCTAATTCGATGCAGTATGTATGATGGATCATGGATGCTTATGTAGGCTTTAGAAACTGATATCTTCTTGTCAACTTAATTGACATTCAGGATACATTTAATGTATTTAAGTCTATCTATAATCATTTGACAGAAGATTGAATTATTGTTTTTAGGACATGTACACTTGTGCTTATGTTTGAGTTATTGATTGTTGTGATGTTTATAGGGTTCTCTTAAGCTTTAATTGACATTTTTATTTCAGGAAAACCTATTGTAAATGGCAACAGCAACTTATCCACCTCCTCCACCATATTACAGACTCTACAAAGATTATGAACAAGATCCCACCTCTGCTCCAGAACCTCCCCCTCCTATTCAAGGAACTTACCTCTTATATGGTGCCAATTACACTGTAAGCTCATCTTCTTAATAACAACATACTTACTCAAATAGTATATTTTTCATCATACACATTGTCAAATTTGATTCTTTTATATACTAATTTTGTTTGTAGACTGATGATGTATTGCCAAGTTTGGAGGATCAGGGTGTTCGCCAGCTGTACCCAAAAGGCCCAAATGTTGGTATGTTATAATTCCATTTTCTTTCTGTTTTTTCCATAATTTGTATTTGCATTTTCTATTAATTTAATTAATTTTATAGATTTCAAGAAGGAATTGAGGTCACTAAATAGGGAACTGCAGCTGCATATATTGGAGTTAGCTGATGTTTTGATAGAGAGGCCATCACAATATGCAAGGAGAGTGGAAGATATTTCTCTTATATTCAAGAATTTGCATCACCTTCTCAATTCATTAAGGCCACATCAGGTAGAATTATGTCTGATTAAAATTTTAATTTACTTAATTTGTTATTATTTCAAGACCAATTTACTTAAATACCCAAAATACCCCTTTTTCAGGCGAGAGCGACACTTATTCACATACTTGAACTTCAGATACAAAGACGAAAGCAAGCTGTGGAGGACATCAAAAGGCATGTTTTGTACATTTTATGTCAACACTTAGTGTTTGGTATGATGGAATCGGGGAAGGAATGGAATGGAATGGCTTATTCCTTTCCTTCCATTCCATTCCATCCAACCAAATAGACCCTTAGTTTAAGAAGTGTTTGTATGAATAAAATGATTTTTCATATGAAGTATTCCATTATATTGTGTCGCGATACTTTTTCTCATAGTCTTATTTTTATGTTTGACTTTTGTAGGAGGAGAGAAGAAGCACAAAGACTTCTCAAGGAGGCACTTGGGACATTGGAGGGACAATAAAAATATGAATGTTTAACTACCAAATCAACAAGTGGAGTATTTTTTTGTGAACTAGCACCTAAGAATTCTATGGTTGTAAATGTTTCACATGAGTTTGTATTTTTATTAAACCCTAATTTTGTTTCTCATTATCCGTTTAATTACAATTTATCGGTTAGATCTTTAATTGTCACTTTCAAAAGATGTTGTGACATGGTAAGTCAGGTGGAGTTCTAGTGGTTGTATGTTTGATGATGAGGATGAGAACATTTACGTCTTTTGCACATAAGAAGTCGTTCCATCTTTATGGGTGTGATGAAAAGTTATAGTTTTTGTTTCATTAACATCAGTCTCAGCTAAAGTCCAATACATGACAAATGTAATTTGAAGATTGTTTGAGTATTTGAGCTATGCAAAAAATCATATTATTTTGGTGGATATTTATAATGTAAAAATATATTATTAATTGGATGATGTTGAAGTTCATTTTGTTCCAATGGTATTATTATTAGGTATTTAGGTTATTATTATGAATTTATGATCATGTGGTTAGATTGCCTAATGACGGAGATTAAGTCGGGGTGATTTATCATTAGCGTATTTTTGAGTGTCTAAATTGATGATATCAGAATTTGTTGGACTATAACTGCCAGGAGTTGATATCCAAAGGGGTAAAAATAGGCATATCGTCTAAGTTTAAGCCACGTAGAACCTTAGAAGTTTCTGGAGACAAAGCTGACCCTAAAAAACTCTGTTGCGTGAAATTTAATCAAGTTGAATCGCTGCGGATTAAGGCACGGATATAGCTCGATCGATTTTGCTGCAGGTATTGTTCTGATCTTCTTCGTCATAGTTGTACGTAGTTGGTGATTTATTTTTAAGCGTATGTATTTTCTCACATTTGGAATTTAATTGCAATTTTGTGTATGTTGATATACTCTGATAATCTGATGAAATGTTTCTATTAATTAACCGTTATCGTGATCGCCGTGTGATTATAATCTGTAGGTATTTCTCTGATTTCTTCGTACATTAGTCTTATATGATTTGGATCTTGTTTGCAGTTCCTCATCAAAATTTTTGTTAGATCAATCGCTATTTTTGTTCCTAGTTTATACTCGAAATACATCAATATATTCATACTTGTAATTGATTGATTTTAGCGTTTCGTGAATTTATGCATCTATTCCCTCTTTCATTTTTATTTTCTCTTCACGTACTGAATCTTATAGTTATTACCTCGAATATATATCAATCTTTTCATCCTTGCTATTCGCCTTCGCGTTTGCTGAATTTTTACGCTTGTATTCGTTCTTGTTTGGTTCACATCGCTTTTTGTTAGATCAACTGCATCGATCTCTTTTCATTCTTTTTGATTGCTGTTTGAGGTGCATTACATTGCAGATTAGATTTTTGTGTTTGAAAAACACTAAATTGAGGATTATCAGGTAGTTTTTGTTCATTACAATCAAAATTCTTTAACATATATTGGCTTAATTTCATACAGGGTGAAGAATGAGGGGTAGAAGTTACAGCTACAGCCCTTCACCACCAAGGTACCATAGCAGAAGGAATCGAAGCCCTAGCCCAAAGCGTCATGCTAGAGATCTTCCTACTAGCCTATTGGTTCGCAACCTTCGCCTTGATTGTAGGTTCGTTCCAACATTCTTTCTTTTTTGTGATAAACATTTGAAATATAAACAAATGATGATTCAATATATTGTCTATTGATCATCAATCATTTCACAAACTCATTGTTTGCAGACCAGAAGATCTTCGTGTGCCATTTGGAGAGTTTGGCCCTCTGAAAGACGTTTACTTGCCACGTGACTACTATACAGGGTGAGCATAGTCTTAACTGAAAACTGGTTTGTTTATTACAAGTGTTGAAGACAAATGAAGTTAAAAAAGATTACTATGAAGACTGAAGAAAGTTGGTTATAAAACATTGTGAAGAAGTTCAATTTCACATTAAAACCTTCACTATATGTAAGGTTAGCATTCGTTTTTGATGAAAATATTTGGCTCAAGCTTTTGCCGGATATTGAGCGAATTACAAAACAAAAACATTATATTTTGGGGTTTTACCATTTATACTTTTGATGCTACATATGTTTTTTAATTCTATGATATTTATTTACAGAGAGCCACGTGGATTTGGTTTTGTTCAATTTCTTGATCCAGAAGATGCTGCAGAAGCCAAATATCAAATGGATGGTCAGATTCTTCTTGGTAGGGAGCTCACAGTTGTGTTTGCTGAAGAAAATAGGAAGAAGCCTTCAGACATGAGAGCAAGAGAACGTTTTAGGTAATAAAATTATTAATATTAATATTATTTATTTAGGCAATGAAAATTGATGTCTGAATATGAATACAGGGGACGATCTTATGATCGTAGAGTGTCTTCTTCTTCTTCTTTCAACCGTTATTCTCGTTCCCCGCCACGTGGCAGATCATATCACCATTCTCCTCCTAGACGCCGTCATCATTACTCAAGGTAAGCAGTTTAATGTATTATGATCTTGACACGTAGGACAGATTTAATTTTGAATGTTATTTTATTTTTGTCACGTAGTGGCATGTGAACACAATGTGATAAATGATAATCTCTGCCACGTAGGACAGAATACATACATGTCTACCCAATTGAAACGCAACATGTATAATAATAGATGGTTGTGATTATTGACAATTTGACGTTAACTGTTTAATCACTTGATAGGTCAATCTCACGAGACCGAAGCTACAGGGACAGATACAGGTCTTATTCAAGGTCTCCATATGGTTCCAGGAGTCCCGAAGGTTATTAGTTGACAATTAACAGAGTCTTAATGTCTGGATTAACAAATTCCGTTATGGAATATGGATGTTGATTTTACGTGAACAACTTGATATAATATAGATATGCATCTAGATATTTACTTGTTTCAAACTTATTTCTGTCTCTTCGGAATTGTAGAAGACATTTAAGATGTGCCACAACTATAATATCCACATCAGTTTTTTTTTTTCTTCGCTTTAATTTAATTTCAGTAGTGCAGATTTAATTTCAAAGGACACAAAAAAGGCTGGTAAAAGCAATAATATATATTTTGATAATTTTATGATTTAACCATTATATTTCAGTTTTATCCGGAGAAGCCTATTAAGTTTGACAATATTGTTATTTTTACATGTTATGACATGTAAAGCTTATTTTTAAAATTTTATTTTGCAAACTAAAAAATAACTTAGAGAACTACTCACACTAAACTAGCGTTTTAACGGACTTATTTATTTTAAAAAAAACATTCTTCAAAATATATTTTTTATTATATAAAAAAACTCTCTTTTTATATTATTTTATATATTTTAGCTAGTTTATCCGTTAGTTTTAACAAATGTCATTTCTATCAACTAATATATATATATATATTTCTTTTTTTTATCAATTAGTTTGCTAAGTAGCCTAATAACAAAAAAATTTGTTGGTTTTATTGAAAATTTTAATATTAAACATTCTACTAAAACTAAATTTTGACAAAAGTTACTATTATAACAATTTTAACATGCTATGACATATTATAGTAAACGGTCGATATAGAAAAATTGTCAAATAGTTAAAGTTAAACTACAAACATAACAGTTTAAACATAAAAATAATCAAAATACGATGTTTTTTTTATATATTTTATCGAAAAACTAATTTCACAAATAGCTAACTGGTTTTCTTTTACAAACATAACAGTTTAAACATAAAAATAATCAAAACACAATGTTTTTTTTATATATTTTTATCGAAAAACTAATTTCACAAATAGCTAACTGGTTTTCTTTTATTTATTTATTTTTAAATTTGGTGGGTTCTTTGCCAAACCTTCCGAAACCTTCTATGTTCGTTAGCTCGCCTAAAGTGTCTTAGCTTAGCTCACGCATTGCTTTCTTCACTCATACGGCCATATTTGGCACGAAAAAAATTGCAATAAAATAATATGCTGCAATATAAAATTCCTCATAATACGTACTTAGAAAGCTACACAATCTTGTCTTGTATTATAATTTAATATGTTAAACATACTCTTTGAGGTGTTAAATTTCAAACATAATAGAGGATAAGACATACGGATAAGATTCGCGGGGATTTATGTCTATTTAATTTATGTTGTACCTTTTTTTTGAAAATAATTTATTTATGAATAATTGAGATGTCAACTCGTTGTGCCCACTGCCCACTTTATCTTTTATTCGTATTTCTTTACTGTTTGTTTGTGAGGATTGGAAACGGGCGGATGTAAACGTCGACTAGTTTCTAGAAGTATTTGATTTTTTCGTTGGTTATTATAAAGTCGTTTGCAACGTTATCTGCAAGAGACATATCATGCTATTAATCTAGTGTGATGTGATCACTCAATAATTTACGACAACAGGTTTATTAATTTATTTTATTTAAAATGGTAAGTCTGATAAATTAAACGGTGTCAAAAGTTTGAATTAATCAGTGAAATGGTAGATGTATCTCATGTTTTATGATTATTTTTTTTTATAGAAATGACAAAAGTAGCTATTTTTGTAAATCTTTTACAAAAAATTACCTGATTTCCACAATAGCCATCCATTCCATAGTTTGGAGGGGGGTGGGGGTTGCGAAATTGGGACGCACACTCTCAAATGAGTTGTGTGGCTCAAAAGTGTCATTGTTTTTATCGATTTTTTCATTTTACAGCGGACACTTCAAAATGGGTACCATACTAACGGAGTGTTTGAGATTTCATCTAAAACAATTTATTGATTTATTGATTTTTTGAAAAGTCAATAAATAAAAAAATGTTCATCAATATAAGAATGACTCTTAAAATAACTTCTCATTAACTCTTCAAAAAAGAGATTTCAATAAGTTAAAATTTTTAACTTTTCAAAAGTCTTTATAACTTTTCTTTGGTTGTAAAAGACAAATACCTCTTAAAATATATATAAGATAAAATAAACATTAAAAAAAACCAACCTATTAACTTATTGATTTTTCCAACCATAACAATTAATTTAAACACTTTTTAAAAAACTCATTTTCTTATTACCATAAGTCAATAAGTCATTTTATTTAAAAGTCCTTTTGAATTTCAAAATGAAATCCCAAACACCCTCTAATACATTTTATGGAGCCCGTTGTGAAACGAAGAAAGTTGATGTTTTTGAGCCATTGTGCTCATTTCACATCGTGCATCCCAGTTTTGTAGACCTCTATGAAATGGGTACCATACTACTCTATTTTATAGTGTGATATTTATTTCACAAGGGCCAACTACGAAAATGAGAAAAAACGGTGATGTTTATTGTTTTAGAGTCCCCACCATGCTCATGTTGATGCTCATATTGTAGTGCACATGCCTATTTCACATGGCCTTCTATGAAATGGGTAGTTATCGGTAAAAAATCATGTAAAATTTAGCTAATTTTGGTAAAAATGCTTATGAACATTAATATCTTTGTCATTTTCTTATATTATTAAGGTTTCAAATTTGAAGTTGTTGTACATGTACACCATTGCTGCTAACACCGCAACATTGGAAGTTTAGGGAGTTAGAATGCATACAAAATTGATTGATTATCAAATTAGATTGAAACCTATACGGGTAGAGCAACAATGATATTAATACTAACAAATATTTACCAAGACAATATAATTCATGCCATATTTAGGTTAAAAGAGAGTCGTGTCATGATTGTCCTTCCTTTTTGCCCTGTCACATTAACCCCATATCAATTTTACCATAACTTCATTGGTTTCTTACCACACATGGAATGATCACAATGCATGCTATATTTATTTTTTAAACTATTTAAGCAAATTAATTTAAATAAAAACTTAAAATTTCATTAATTGAAATAAAATATACATAGCAAGAATTAAAACATAAAAACTTAAAAATACAAAAAATAAATAATTAAAACATGTTAAAGTCTTTCCGAAAATTCTTTTTCCAAATAATTTACAGGATCCATGTTGAAATCAATGTTTTGAACTCCGTAATCATGTCCCACCAAATCGATGATTTTTATGCGTTTCACTATTAAATATCTTGACTCTTCTTTCCATGTATACCTTCGCTACCAAACTCTATTGATTATGTTACGAGAATGGTTTCATTTTCGTCATACTCACATATCGCTCTTATTTTGTGTTGTATAATCATATTATGCAATATATATATATATATATATATATATATATATATATATATATATATATATATAATACATCTTCAAGTTTTCTCTGCTAAAAATAGTGCCAAAATTTAGTATTTATGTAATAAGGATGGTTAAGATTTATATAGATTCAAAAATAAAAATAAATTAAAAAATGAAACGTCCTAAAAATATAGTCCAAAAATTTCGTTTTAAAATCATTTTGAAAACCATAATTCATCAATATCAATATAAAATCATAAGTCATGTATTCCCAAAACATCACATCAAGATACTGTTTCAAAACCATGTGTCAAAACATCAGAGTCTAAAACATCCCAGACTATAAACTGTGGTGTGTGTCATGCAGTCACCCTGAACTCTTCCCCTTGCTAGTGGAAGTACCTGAAACCAAAGAAGAAAACCGTAAGCATGAAGCTTAGTGAGTCTCCCCAACTACCACATACCATACACATATCGCATAAACATATCTTGGGTCCCGCCCCTGCTACATCGGGTCATCGCCCGACATTGGCTTTCCCGGCATCGAACCCTATTCGGCATCGGGCCCCGCCCGGCATCGAGCCTTGCCCGGTATCGAGCACATCTCAGAATACATGTGAGCATAATCAAGTAATACACATAAACCTAAGCATATATCATTAACATTTAAACATTCCTCGGGCCCCGCCCGGAATCAGACCGTAATTCGGAAACATACTAACATTCCTCGGGACCGCACCGACATTGGACCGGAGTCCGGAAACATACAAGCACAAACACATGCAAGAATCACAAAGACATCAAGCATACAAGCATTCCTCAGGACCGCCCCGACATCAGATCGAAATCCGGAAAAACATATAAACTTACTTCGGGCCCAGCCCGACATCGGACTGTAATCCAGAACTACTACTAACTAAACGGGACGGCCTTGGTGCCTTAGACCCGTTCCTACTGGAAGAGGACTCACCTCTCAAACTGGCGGCTGAAATCTCGTGTGAGGAATCTCTAGTGGCTGCTCTAACGACTCCCCGACTATCATTATCACAATAATCACTTAGTCAAAAACTGATAACCCTTATAAGGGTAAAATGACCATCTCTTATGTCAAGACCCCTTCACGGGTCAACCTTGGTCAAGTCATAGTCCCAGTCAAAGTCAACGCTCAGTACAAGTCAAAGTCAACATTTGGGTTGACTCAACTTGTCGAGTCAATCCCTTGACTCGCCGAGTTCCTTTGCCAATCTTAGTCGTGAAAACACAAACTAACTCGTCGAGTCCCTTCATGGACTCGTCGAGTTCCACCTTGTATACAATCAGGATAAACCCTACGCAACTCGTCTAGTCCCCTTCTGGACTCGCCGATTCCCCTCGTCTGTTTGGGCTATCTTAACGGATTAAGCCCCAACACTTCAGATCAAAGCTTCCTACTTCACATAAACCCTGAGAATGTCCTTTTAAGGGTAATGTTTCCAACTTTACCCGTTAATACCTCTTCTTAAAGGGTTTAGCTCCAACCCTAATTCCTTGGGACCTAGAACTTGGTCCTTAAGCCATACATACACCAAACTAAAGCTTACAACTTTAGATCTAAACCCATAACACTACTTGGACACATAAAGTTCCTACCTTTTCCCACATGTATGGCCTTTTGGGGCTAAAAAGGCCAATATGACACTCTATGGCTTGTATGGGGGCTCCAATGGCATAAAGTTTGCACCTTTATGTCATATCAGCCCTTCAAGGTCCTAGATCTGAAAGAATACCCACTTGGGTCAATCATTATCCAAAAGCTATCATTCTTGGACCAAAAACCCTTATAAAATAGACATAAAGAGATCTAATGAACTAAT